TAATTGAATATTGTTGAGTTTCGTTATGCATTGGCGTTTCAGGGGGAATAATATTGTTAATTTGAAGGTGCCATGAAATTAGGTTACACACAATATCATGGTGAAATTCTATTTTTTCAAACAAAGTAATGTTTCGTGAAGAAATTTTGTCGGAGTTATAATAATATTAGCTTTCTAGTGAATTTCGGCTCATGTCCCATGCACATAATGGTCTCGTAGCAAGCGGGCTTTCGTTTCGAGATCTGTATGCACTATATCACTGCTAAAACTTACACCTGGTATTTAGATCTCAAGTTTTGAGCTCCGCAATTTTCGTGATCATAAGCACTGCAGAACACTTGTCGAATTTGGTCAGTAGAACGTTTCTTCTTTGATGCTACGTATCATCTCTTTTGTCAGCCTGACCTCTGATTAGATCTTATCATCCAGCTTTTGTTCCTGAATCATTTGAAAAATGCGTCCAAGAAAGGCGTCATTTTTCTTTTCATTGTAATGCCCGAGCATTGCTTGCAACTTCGAGATGTAAATGAGCGCTGTGCCTCAATTACAAATTCTTTAACGTTGCTGCCATAGTGCTTAAAGTTTGCTGTCATTTTATTGCTTCAATATACATAAGCTTAGAAATCAGATAGCGCTTACAGCTGCTCTGCTGCTCGGATCGAAATTCCGCTCTTTATGAATGAGAAACATTTCTTCCTTTAAAGCTATATACGGCGTCTTATGAGTGGGGTTTTAGTTCATGCGAAAAGAGATATTTTGTTTGCTTGTTAGGAACACGATTAAATTCTTCTCAATATGAATTACAGCTGAATTTCTCATAGAGTTCCATAGAAGATGCTCCAGAGAAAACCATGATCCAAGCTCAATTCATTGCCTCGCAAAGTATAGTCAATGTAAGAAATAATACATTGCACAACAATACGCGTGTGAAACCTTTTTTTTCTGATGCGGCTCCATATGCTATGAACGCCTTAAATATATAGGCTCTCTTCCTTCCTATATTAGAATTGCTCAATGCGACCATAAATGGGCGTGTTGAGAGATGCCGCCCCTCTAAAATATACCTTTGTAGTAACTTCTCTATTTTCCACTGTCAAGATCTTGTCATGTCGACGAAAACATGAAAACAGGACCATTGACTTGTATTAGCTTGAATGCTTACATTTCTGTGAGCTGGTTTTTATGATCAAAAGATTAATTATGGACATGATCACGCAATAATTATCGCACGAGTATAATTATGAACATGCTATAATAATTTTTTCGTTCAGTCGGAAGGTGACTCCATTCCTTTTTTTAGGCCTACTTCTGTGTTTCTAAATTATAATTTATTTGATCTCAATAAGGACGTCTGCTGAAAATTCCAATCGAACGTGTGTAACTCATAATACGTGGTGATCCTGAATTCGTGTTCATTTGGTAAATGGTACGTTTTCCATAAAGCAAATAATTCAGAATTACTATGGTTAATTAGATTCTATTTTCTGCACCACCTTTAGTTTTGCACTCACTCATTTGTAGGCATTATTGATTCACCAAGCACCCACTCATGAGAATTCAAGATCTCATGCTAAAATTTTTCGTCTAATGGCATGTATTTTTAGCGCATTTTCTCATTTATGGAAAAAATGCACTATTGTGCTCGCCATGTCCGTCTGTCTGTCTGTCAGTCCGTCTGTCCGTGACCTCAAGTTTTCGTCGACGAGAAAATGCGCTCTCTGTCACTCACTGCTGTGAGTACTGAGTTATATTTTTTTTAATATATGGACGTGATCATTCATGATGTGCATGGTCTTTCGTTATCATTATCGAACACGTACGTGTGTTGGCGGTGACCTCAAGCAATGACTTCCACTGCTGTGTTCAGCTATAGCGGGGTTCAGTTATTTTAGTTTTGTTGAGCATTGCTTCACACGCTCGAAGTGATTACTGTTCGATTTTTATTGTTATTTGGGCTAAAGGATATTGAAACATATATATCATTCTTTATCTTATTGAAAAAAAATTAATCTAAAATTATGAAAACGATGTCCTTTTTATTTTCATCCAGTGTAATCGGTACTATTTTTAATGCATGTCTATGAAATTTGCATAACGTCCCGCATGAAAATCAAGGTAGAAATATCATTAAATAATTCGAACTTTAACTGTATTAGAGGTCGGAAATTTTCTAATTTGTTACATTTCGCTAGTTGCATTTCGCTCAATTTTGAAATGGATTTTAATGAAGCCTTATTCATTCATATACCTATTATTAATTTCCCTCAATTTGTCCCTATCTCGTTGGACGCAAAAAATTACGCTAGTTTACGCCACATCAAGGTCAATATCCTTAGGAGAACCCACATCGCAAAACTTTGCACCTCTCTTTGCACTCCGAGTGCAGATGTCTACCCATGAGCCTCTTGTAGGACCCATAAGAGGATGAGCGTTTGTAGAAGTAATTAATGCACCGGTTCATAATTATACCTCATCTCTGAGGCTCGTCCTACGGCTGTCTTGCTGCTATACATACTTTCATTGCTAGAGAGCGCCTTCTTTTCATTATGGGCCATTAGATTCATATAAATTAATATAAAATATTAATTCATATATAATATATAATTTATCTCTGAGGCTCGTCATACGGCTATATAGCTGCTATACATACTTTCATTGCTAGAGAGCGCCTTCTTTTTATTATGGGTCATTAGATTCATATAAATTTTTATTAACCTTGGCATGACAGAGACGCGGTTTTAACGACCAACGTTTATTTTGATGAGTGACATGCAGACACCTCCAGGCTGGGTAATTCATTTCTTAATGCTCATTACCATGGTTTATTTTTTGATTTATTGTTTAACAAATTATTCGGAGTTTCAAATTTGAATTTGATGTAAGGGTACCTCGGCTTATTACCAACTTTGGCGACTTATTACCGATATATTCGTGCTCAATATTGTAAAATATATCATACGTCTCATACTTTAGAGCAAATCAATCCAAAACAAAAGCAGCGAATTGGATTTTTTGAATCTCGAGTGTTAAAACTAGAAACTTGATAATAGAAGAACAACGAGGGACATGGAGCTTCAGTGCAGTTTCGATTTTTTAGATTAACCTAAGTGTAAGTTAGCGATTCGCATGGCAGGTATATGTCTCTCACCCGCAAGGATTATTTTTTCTGTGTCTAGCCCGCTAATATATAGCAGGTTTTCAATAGAACTGGTATTTATTTGATCCTGCGCATTTGCTACCAGCTCGAATTCATCGTCCTTATTTATCATCTTATCGATGATTCGGAATATTTAATGATTCGAAAAACTAGATAGCATTCAAAGTCAACCGAAATAAAAATGATATCAAGCCACATTTGATAGTGCAATTTGAAGCTCCAGTACATTTTGCAATGATGCAAGAACTAGTCTCGCATTTGTCGTCGATAGTTTTTTCTGGAAGTGATACTACGTACGACTCCCACGTGTGCTGCATGCCTCTCATGATTCTATATTGTGCGTCAACTCGCGAGTTTTCAATCCACTATGCATTGTTAATCAAGCCAAAGCTATCCATTACTGCGTTGGGTTATTTGTTAAAATTTTCAGATTTAGTACATATTCTGAGCTTGTACGGTATTTGTTCAAAAAATTAAATAATCGAAAAAAATGAGTTGGTGGCGCTTCTGGTGCTGCGTGCTTCCAGTTAGGCATGGGGCAACGGAGGCTGTATTCGAAAAAGTGAATGAGTCATATTGTCCAAATAATGACTTACTTCCTACATGTAGCATTGATACGTCTTTTTGCTGGGCAAAACTGGTCAGTTTGGACTGCATCGCTATTTGGAAAAAGTCTCTCTATTTTGTTGAGTGTCATGCGACTGCGAGAGAAGTGGACTAAGGACCATTTGCGACCACAAATTACGAACTAAATTACTCCTGGGAAGTTCTTGTCAAAATAGTTACCCTAAAATTATGCTAATTATACTAATAACCCTAAATTCTTGGAATTATACTAATTACCCTAAAAATATAGAATTATACTAATTTTACAACTACATTTATGAGGTTTTACAACCTCAATCAACTATTTATTTTTCAAGCGGTTAGTTTGAAAAATTAGGTTCTTGCCTGTAACATTAAGAACGCATGTAAGAATAAATGTATCAGAATAGAATATTATGTTGAAGAAAAGAAGAAATTATTTATGTGTTGATTTAAATTACAAATAATTTTGTTTTATGAAGCTCACTATTTTCTTGTGCTCCACTGAAGCTATGGTACTTATTAGGTAAAGATCTATTACACTATTTTCTCCACTAAGTAAAAGATGCTTACCCTGTTTACCTTCGCTTCAGGGAACTTTTAGAAAACTGTCATGAATTACTTGCTTCATGGACGGTGAAGAATATTTTTAGCAGTGTTCGATACTAAAATCATACTTATCATCTGCAACTGTTGAGGTTAATTTAGGGATTGAGTAGCTACAAATAACAAGATCTGCTTTTATAACAAGCGCGTTTGCGTTTAACACCATTGGTTGCATGCTCGTCTGGGTATTATGTACTTGGGTTCGTAGGAAGCGTCGCTTCTGAACAATAAACATTCTTCACTTGAATTAAAAATGAATAATAAGCACCTTTTCTAACGTATTTTCTCTAGCACCGTTTAACTCATTACAAGACAACTACAAGAAAGATTTTTTGTCTGATTATTTGGCACGCAATTACAGCTCTAGTTTGAATATGTTAGTGAGTTAAGGCTGTTCTAGGTTTAGCGTGTGCTCAACAATTGTTTTTAGAAGTTTACGAGCTCCCTAAGTTAATATGTGTGTGGTTTGGAACTGCACTCTTAAGAAATAGGAATTAGAAACAACAGAGACGGCAATAATATATTTATTTAAAGCTTACGTTTAATAATATTTCTCATCAACACATCTATGTTTTGTAGTCGCGACATTTTCAAATGAAAAAAGACTTCAGTAGCTGAAAATTTTGCAAGCAACTCGAGGAACTCGTTAAAGAGTTCTGTGCCGCATGGAAACTTTATGCTCCGAACAAATATTTATCATGGCAGAAGACAAGGAATTCAATTTATGTTACTGTAATGAAGTGCGATTATGCCTTCATGGCCTCGAGGAGCATGTTTCATGTGCTTTATGAATTCAATTTTCAGAATAACTGATGCACCGCTGTTAGCCGACACCACGTGTTGCAGTAACTTACAATGGTTTCATTCATTACGAAGTTTAGTCGAGTGGTTAATGAACATTCTCATAATTATTTAAGTGACACTTCTTGTTATCAAAAGAACACTTTTTATTTCACAATTTTGATATCGATCTTGAAGCGGAAAAATTAATGCTGTCATCGAAATGGCTGCAATTAACAACTTGATGTTATTCATATTTCTTCATATTACTTCAGTCATCGCCGGTGATGAAACTTTTAGTGAAATTTCTATACCTGACGAAGCCCATTCAGCTCATCTGCTCGTTAATCCCCAAATAGCTCCTAATTATTCAGATGACTTCCCAAACAACGATCTTGGAATAGACTACCAAGCGAAAAGAAATTCTCCTCAAGCTTCTGAATTTTCCAATAGTGTCCATTTCGGTAACTTGGAGAACAATTTGAATCTTAGACCCGATTCATACTCTTCAAAAGCAAGCAAAACGGTTGAAGATTTGCATTTCAATCATGGCCAATCGAGTGGAAATGATCACATAGCATCCGAGACCGAGTCTCGGTCACCCGAACCTAGTCAATTTGCTCCGAATCGACCGATCGACAGCCTGAAACTAGACCCCGACTCCTCAACAACTCAGCCCAAGAACCCGAACCTCGATTTGTCATCGAGTTTGCGTCGTTCGCGCCGATCAGGTGATAGATGGGCGACGAGTATGTCGGATACAGACGACCGTTTCGAGCGCGCCGCCATATCCAGTCACCCGTCCGACAACCAACTACACCGACAGCGCACCAAGAACAGAGGTCAGTAACTTCTCTTTAATATCTACTCGATTAATATCTTGTAATTGTCGTCTTTATGACCATTGACTTGATATGAATTTTTGTTAATTGTAATCTTATCGACACTCTCTTACTACAATAGCACTCATTGCATTTTGAGTGTTTAGGAAATGGCATTCACTTCCGACACAACATCACATCCGCTATGATTAGGGAATTTTTAATATTTCATTTCAAATTTGTACAATAAATTGAATAACAAGTCTTTTTAGCGCATTTTCTCATTTATGGAAAAAATGCCCTATTGTGCTCGTCATGTCCGTCTGTCTGTCTGTGACCTCACGTTTTCGTCGAGAAAATGCGCTCTGTCACTCACTGCATTGAGCACTGAGTTATATTTTTTCAAATTGTATGTATTAAAACCAAAAATGAGGAAATTGAGCATGCAATTAAACTTCGCTGATTAAAATGTATATTTTAAGAATGTATGTTTAAAGAATCTTTATTTTGAGAACGCCAATATATGTATTTTAAAATTAATATTTTAAATAGATATATTTATAACACATTTAAAAAATTTATAGTTAAAAATGTATCGCCAACTGAACTGTTCAAACATAAGGATCTGGCTTAACTAACCTCCACCAAACATAAACCTGAAATGCTCTTGGATTTACACTTTTTATATTATAATTTTATTCGATGTTAATTTTTTTAAATATCTTCAATCAGAAGAATTTGTGATGATATTTTGTCCAGCGCTGACTCACACACGTGGTACAGTGTAATTTTTATTACTACGACACTTAGTTTTTAAATAGATGTGGATCAAGCTTTATAAAATTTTGCCGTTTTGTATGAATGAATTTTTTGTGTTACGTATGACAAAATTTTGCCTTCACGTGGGAGTGTTGTTGCGTATAATGCACATTTTCTGCTACATTCGATCTCTTTATACAATTTTGAGTGATCAAATTGCAATACAGCACTTAACATGGAGATGCAATATACAATATGAGTGAAAATAATGAACTGAGAACAGAAAACAACATTTTTCCCCTGTTAAATGGGTGCCTATGACATTTTGCAAACTTTGCATTAACTTTGTGTTTATGTTCAGTTAGACCGAAAAACTAGTCTCGACCTTGAGATCATTACCTTCGTATACAAATGAAGAGAACCGACGAGCAGCAGTTTGTCAGGAGCATATGATTGTTTATATAACAAGCAGCGAGTTGTGTAAACCTTCATGCAGGGTACGACCGCCCAAAATTGAACTGACAGGAAGCATGCATGGCATCACTTGAACCACTATCTGTGCCACTCTTCGTTAGACTCTTTGGTTTTGTTAGAATAGACAGATGTTATTTAACACACGTTATGCATTATTATGAATGAAGTTCTGCTCGGCCTTGTGTTGGCTCAATAGCTCCTCATAGGCCAATAATACCGAGTATTTATCTAAACGCTTTATGAGCTCTGTTGCCGTGACCGCATGTCTCCAACTCCAAGAGGTGCTACGATAACCGTGCCTGAGTTCCCAATAGGCAGTGCGCGTTGCAGTCTTAAACTGCGCGTGTCAAAGGTCCTCGCTAACAAATAATAATAATAGCACTCATAAAAAATTAAGAGTGCTCATCATGAAAAATTTTCTACAGACATGGAAACAAACTTCCTAAGTTCATCGCAGTACACATCGTCAGTTTATGCGTAGTCAATATCTAATAAATTCTCACTATAGAATTTGAACGGTTGAAATCTTGTGATACTTCACAGAATTGATATTGAATGATTTTGGACAAGTTTGTTATTTCTTTTGTTAACGCCTCTGATTTCATTATTGTTATAATTAAAATTGACATTCCAAATAAAATGTTACGATATTTTACAAGTTGAATGGTGTCCAAGGTTTTTCGTTTTTAGCTTGATTTGTAATAATGAATCAGCCACGTTTATCCAAGGCTCGAGTTCCAAGGGAACTAATCAAGCAGTAGCGCTCAATTAGTTTTCAACTAACCGCGCTTATTTAGTGGTAGTTCCACAGCGTGATGTGAAAAAATCATCCTTGACATCCTTAGCGAAACGTAAATAACTATAATACGTATTGAAAAAAATGTGATCTTAAAACTTTCCTTGAATTACTGAGATCAATCAATTAAATCATCCGCTATCATACGCATTATAAAAAGTAGTCATTCCACGTGTATTAGGTGCAGCGCTTTATTAGCGTTGTCAAAGAGCTGATTCGTCTGTAGGCATTTGATAAGTCAATCTTTAACGTTATTATTATAGTTCAGCCGTACTGATTCATTGATTCATTACCTTGTCGGTGTCTAACTAACTTATATCTCATGAAACATTGAAGATCTCGACAAACATAACACTAATATACAATGTACATACCTCATGAAAAATCGGTCACCTCATCTCGATCGTTGCTAGCGTAAGTTAGCCTCGGAAAATACTTCTCAGCCTTGAGCGGCTATCTTGCTATTCTGCCACCACCTGAAAATCGTTCCTGTCATTATAGTAGCCCTTGGCTGAGTCTACGTTCAGGGGCTGCGGGTCTCTCTATACAAAGTGAACATTATTGACGTAGTGGGAATTTCTGTCACGTCTCAAAGCTCGCTTCCCCTCAGGGGGGACTTCTGACGCGTGTCTGTGTGCGTCAGAAGTCCTGTGGGATTTCGCGTTCCTAGGGGGATTGTTCCTGAGCGCCCATGAGATGCTAACGCTGCTTCTTTCGAGCCAGCTTCAGCGGGCTGGACATTTGAGACCTTCCGCCCCTTGTGGGTGATGAATAATTGAGACCTTCCACCTCTATGGTTGATGTTCATCATGATTTTCGGTGCGAGATAGCTAAATAGCTGAAGCGCTAGTAAACATTTGGCCACTAAACTAACTAACTAACTCAAAGCTCGCTAGCATCTCACTGAATGGTGGTTGAGCTCCTGCCGCGCGCATATCATGCTCTATGCCATTTAATTAATAATTTAATTCAGTTTGTAACCTCCATGTATGCAATGTGGAGTTCTGTGTGCGCATATTTGTATGGCATGATCCCATTCTGCTGCTTTCATCGTGAATTACACGACCACTATGTAGACCTGCTCGCGTGGTAGCCATGATCGTTTATACAAGACAGCCGTAAACATCAATTATTTAGTGATGGAACGTGAGCGTCACGCTGCCATAAAGCTCTCGCCAATTGCAAAAATTTATCCTGCGTAGTGAAGCAACTTGGCGGCTGGTAATTGATGCGGGCTCTACGAGGTATTGATGCCGGCAGCGGGTAAAGTAATGTTGATCGATATTGTTGCGCAGATTTCCTGATTCTTAACGCTTGCATCTGCAAGCAAGCAATTTAATTGCATAAATTCACACTCTGTTTGTGGCTTCAGCTTTAGAGGTTTGTGAACTACAAACACGTTTGAGTACAGAGTCTGCGGCTGATCTTGATGCAGAATTGCATGTGTTGCAAATTGGAGCAATGACTACAGCGAGTCGTTGAAGCCATGTTTGCTTTCACATGCCTGCCTCTTGTCACGAGCTCAGACTCAAGGTACACATGCCTATAAAGAACCTGAGTGCCCCTCTGATAGAGCCACTCTCATTTCTAACTCTGGTTTCAATTTATTGGGAACGATTTCACGTCTTGAATGACCCCCGTCGGAGTGTGCGTCGTGGCTGCGTGAAAAAAAAACATACGTCGATAACTTGGTGCATTTAACGTGGAGCGACCGAGGACCACGTTATGTCGATAATCGAAAATATTTTTGTGATGTAACGTTAGTTGATTTGTTTCAGCGCTGATTACGATTGTCTCTTTCTATGATTTGCTCTTTAGGAGTGCGTTATCATTAGTACCTGTTGGTAACAGGGAGCTGGTAAGTCGAAGGCAGTTCAGTGATATATTGATGTCTAGTAAAAGCTCGTTAGTACCAACTCCATTTGAATCGGACATTTTATTTGTTGAGTCTCTTATGAGTTGTCGAGATATTACAAAATTTATTGTTTATTTTTAGTTAGAAGTCGGTCAAGATTTCAAATCTGACAGGTAAGCTGCTATTTAATTCGATCTTCACTAACGTAATAAAGTTCAACAATCTACCCCAAAGCATCGGTTTCCAGCATCATTTTACATATAACACTAACATCCACTTGCTTATGAAAAGTTAGGTGGCGAAAGGGCTTAAAGATAGAAAATATTTTTAAATTTTACATATAGAATCTTTTTTGTATATTCAGTTTAATGGCATAAATTGATCAGACCAAGTCGCAAAATTCCTCTAACTCGTTTAGAGGAAGAGGTTTACAGCTTTGATTGTTAATTATCCAAGTTTTTTATATTGGTCTCGCACGTTACTCATAGCATAGATCTACCGATCTATGCTATGTTCGAATTTTATTTGCTGAATAGCATTTAATTTAATATATCAAAAACAAGAGTCTAGCTTTGTGAACCATCGGATTTATTGAAGAGTTGACTATGAAATGAAAAATTTGCTGCAGAGTTTTAAACTTTGCAAGCATCGAAAGATTCACTAGGAAAATGTTGACTTTTCTCCTAATTTATTGATCACAAATTAGTTCTTCGTTCGTCAGGTCAGTAATATGTATGATCGCGCTTAACTACCTTCTTGTAAATTTATTACGTTTTTGGTACAGTTAAGTCTCATATTTTACCCTGCGTGTTCAAAGCACGTCTGTTTACGTGGCATTTGCTACACTTTCCTAAATCTCCCTTTTCGTGAGGCGCGCCCGCTTATTTTTGTGAGACCTCAAAATATTTTCGTTGGGGAATGTAAACAAGATATTGGGGCAGCCTTGATCGAGGTAATGAGCGGTGCAAAGCCTCGTTAATTGAAGGGTCTTGACGCCTATACCAAATTTGTGGAATTTGTGCCGTTTAGGCTGCGTGTGTGAAAAATTGAGCTTAAACAACAGAAAATGTCGTTCATTAATTTTCTTATTACCGCCAATAACTGTATGTTAATTATTTTTAATTGAGGCTCTGATCA